AAAACTCAAAAGGTGTTTAGTTTGTCCAGTCTGGACTCCATAGAGAGGGTCCCATCGATTTAAATATAAAGTATTTAAATATAAAGTATTTAAATATAAATACATTCAATTTCTGCCAATAGTTCCCTCTCACCTAAATCTTACACACTGGACCTTTAAGTAATCTACATCTTAATTCTTCACATCTCTAATCAGCACAGCGTGAGCTCTGGTGCAACACGTGAAGAGTTTTTTTAAGAGACGGGAGGTTTTCAGAATCAGAATCTCGTTGTAAATAAACACTTGTGAATGGATTGTGCAAAGTACAGTTAGTCTGTTATTATCCACGGGTTGTTTCAGGTTTAAAAACAAAAGGATAGTTCAAGTGTTGTCAGCCAGGTAACATTCCAACATACAGTATGTTCAGACCTTCAAAGAGAGCAGATACACTAAAAAGCTGATAGCCGATGCATTTTGGTCAATGTTTCCTGCTTCCCGGGCAACCAACGCCTGCTCAAACATGATTGGTCAAACTAGTTTAAAACAGGAAACCCAAAAGGATTCCCACCTCCAAATCTTGTCCCTTGCCTCCAGATTTTGCAGAATCTGTTTATAGAGATGAACCGTGACTTTTGTTTGTTTTTAATGGTAACCTTTAAAAACATTTTTATCAGGATGCAGATATTTTTCTTAGTATTTGACATTAATTATAGCTGCATGCAACACCCCAGAGCTGCCCACTTCAACCACGGGTGAGGTTTAATGATCTATCAAAGGGAAACATAACTCCAACACTTCCAGTAGTTTGCCTGTGTCTAGTGGGAAATTCACATCTCTAAAGCATCAGTCTCTTTGAGATTAAGCAAAGCAGCACTTAATCGCCTCATGACAGCCATCCATTTATTAAATTACACACTCTGTTTCACATTTCTTTCTGAGCCCACTGGTCTAACAAAGTTGTCTCATTGAAAGACCAAAGCTTGAATTAGATTGAATTCGAGACAAAATCAGAAGATAAAAAAAATCAATTCGACTGAGGTTTTTACTCTAAAGCCGCAGAACAACAGATATCTGCATTCCTGCTGTCTTCTCAGAACAGTAGACATAAAATGATTATTTGACACGAATGTTGGTGATAATATTAAAACTTTTGTCCACAAAGACAACGTCATAAAAAGACAATGTAAAGGAACGCTGTGTGTTCTCTCCACATTCAGTACATGCAGAATCTTCTTTCAGCATTGAACTGACTTTTTGGAAACATGTACACCTAATTACTAAAAGCTAAAAGTCTCCCTACGCAGTGTGTGTGTGTGTGTGTTTGAAGATAAGCTGGCATGTGCATCAGAATATTTAAAACATTCACAGGGTACATCATGTACCGTTCCCTTATTGCCTGAGTGCACACACGCTGACGCCCAACATACGCACACACACACACATAAATGAGAGGGACGGAGAGATGTGAGTAGACTGAGAGAGACTGATGGGATGAATCAATGAACAAAGATGAACAAAGAGAGATAATATGTAGATTTAGGAGCTGGGAAAGACAAAAGCAAAGGAGCGAGAGAGAGAAAAGCATGGAGAGAGGAAGAGAGATGAAAGGAGAGCGAGCGTCTGTGGGGCAGATCAGAGTGGGTCTGTGGAGCAATAAAGCTGGCTAATCCTGGTTATGAGCCAGAACACACACACACACACATAACGAACACACCCACATACACCACAGTGGCACAGTGACATAGTTGGGGTTGCATAACCAGTCCCCCCCTCCACTTTAATCCTACTTGTATAACCAGGCATTTACTGCAGTTATATAAGCTCTCTTTCTCTCTCTCTCTCTCTCTTTCACACACACCAGCATGCTGACACTCACTCCTCCCATCATGCCCTCGCGGTTTGCCAGCTTGTGTAACTTTCCCCACTTGATACCACTGACGTTCAAATCCATTTTTATCAGATATGGATTTTGGTCTCTCCGCTTCACACGCATGCTTGGTGACGTCTGCGACTTAAGTAACACCACATAAGTCCTTGTGATGGAGCCCTGCATCACTGGCCTATAAAATGTACAGGAAGAAGAGCTGTGTGTGTTTTTCTGTTTTTCATTTTGTTGAGTCCAAAAATTGGTTGAACAATATAAAGTCTAAGTGTTAGGTGTGGAGGATCAGAAGAGTGTTAATTTGAAGAGCATATGTTCCAGCACACATTCAAACTCACAATGAATATGAAAAAATGTGTTTCTCCTCAGGCAAGATTCACAGACCATCAGCATCATAAAGGTCTTTATTTAAAGAAAATCAAAAAAGAAACAAGAAGTAGATCCTAGCAGTAGAGCCCATACCTCATACCTCCGTCAATGCAACAAGTTTAACAAGTTTACTTCTTTTCAACAGACTTTAAAGAATAGTCTGTAAGATTTTCCTGTCCAAAGCATTGTTTGAGAACAGCTGAGTCATCTTTTCCGCATTTTGGTTGATAAAGATGATGCAGTGTTTCTCTCAGATCAGGCTGATTTGGTTGTAATATGCTGTATAAGTTGGGGACAAAATAACCGTAACCACCTCTCTTGCCTCCAGACGTGATTGATCTGAGCTCGGGCGATGACGACACCATCGTCCACATCAGCAGCGAGTCCACCATCGAAGAAGAAGAGAGCGAGCCCAGCGGCTTGCACGCCAATGACGCCCTAAACCAACCGGACGAGCAGGGCAGGGTGTTGGTGAACCTGAACCACCCGGCTGCAGAGACAGACATTTTCCTGTCGCCTCAGCTGGCACGAGCAGTCAAACCTCACCAGGTATTTTAACTGCTACAAAATACCTAAACAAGCAGAACTTGATCTCTTTTGTCTTTCGATGAGAAGGTTTCTCTGTGATATAAAGTCAGAGGGTGGGATAATTTCCGGCTGTCAAATGGTTTGAGCAAAGTGATCTTGTTCTTATGCGGCTCACCTTGCTGAGTGTGAACCTTTCCTTCAGTTTTAATGAGAAAATACCTCTGCTTTTTCACCACCCACCTTCTCCTACACACAATTTTCACCTGTCTTACCTTTCCAACACTCTTCCTCCTACATTGTCATTTAACTTTGTGTCCTTCTCTTTTTTTTCCCCCTCCCTCTTCATCCCCCATCTCCAATCTTGCCGCCGCTTCTCCTCAGATCGGCGGAGTCCGCTTCCTGTACGACAACCTGGTGGAGTCGGTGGAGCGCTTCAGCAGCAGCAGTGGATTCGGCTGTATCCTCGCTCACAGCATGGGCCTGGGCAAAACCCTGCAAGTCATCTCGTGCATCGACGTCCTGTTCAGACACACCCAGGCCCACACCGTGCTCGCCATAGTGCCTGTAAGCCCCTATGCTTTCATGTTGGAATGAGAGGATGTGTGAAGATCTGAATCGATAGGCACACGTTGAGCTCAGTGTGGGAATATGAAGTACCATTTGCAAAGAGTCAACTAGTCAATCAATCATGTGAGACATGTTTTCCAAACCTTGTCAATGTGTGAGAGAGCGATAGGTGGTTGGTGGTCGGTGATAGAACGTTTGGAGAATTCTCAGATCGACGTCTAATCTTTACTCACCCTTTTGTCACTTCTTCTCACTAACTTTGCTATTGCTAGTGTTAGCGGGTGTAGCTTTAGAAGGTTATGCATAGTGCAGGTATTGTTGTTGCTCTTCAGGGCAGGCAGCCTTACATGTATTTCAGCTGAGGGTTTTATGTGACCTGGTAGCTGCTACCAGCGCCCCCTGCTGCATATCTGCTGTAGACTGCTCCTTTAATGCACTGTGCTTAACCCACAGATTAGCAACAAGTCTACAACAGTAGTGATCAATGGTTTTTATTGTTGAGTAGTCTGTGAAACCACTACCTCTTGCAGACTAGTCTTAAATTTATGATGGTTAATGTGTAAATAACATGGGACTATGGCTTTTTAAAGGAAGTTTAAGGAAGTTTTAAATATCAAAGGCATAATCAGCACATTTGGTTTTTTTTACTCAAAATGTTCGAAATGCATGAACAAAGTTGGAGCAGTAAAAAATTCTGCTCAGTTCATCATGTCAGCCCAAGCCTAAGACCCCCTACTTATTTCTGTCTGTCAGGTGAACACATTGCAGAACTGGCTGTCAGAGTTCAACACATGGGTCCCGCCCCCGGAGGCGTTGCCTCCAGATACCGACCCGGCACTGGTGACACCTCGCACCTTTAAGGTTCACATCCTCAATGATGAACACAAGTGAGTAACAGGAACAAGAGCTTTTTTTCAGCTGCTGACCTTTTGAACTTCCTTTCCACTTTATCCCCGTCTGGCTCTTCCTCTCTTCTATCTCTCCTTCATCCTCTTTCTCGACAGCTGCTTGTGCCGGAAAGATTTGCTGATTCTCGTGTGTTTGCGTGTGTGTTTGGGCTTAGGGAGTAAGGAATGAAGGAATGCTGCAAGATGATAGTCTTGTCTAGAAATGACACACTAACCTCATTCTGCACCCCCTCTCATTTCTTCTTATCTCGCCGGTGTGACTTGTTAAGAATTTACAAATTTGCCAAGCATTGGTTCCTTCTCTTCACACACTACTCATTTGCCATTGATTTTGCAATTAATTAGTCATTGAGAATTATTGTTTACAAATCAATGATAGATGAGATAATCTGAGCTTTTGTGAAAAATTCTTCTAGTTCAGCTTGAAGATGCTTTAAATCACATGTGAATTTCTGAGAACAAGAAGATTTTGCATTGCTAAAGGGTTGTTTTATTGCATTTGGAATAAGTTTTATTTTCTTTATAAAAATGTACAGTTTTCTGTATAACTTTGGGGCACAAAGTGCTTGTCACAGCACAAAGAGGTATAGAGGGTGTTTTTCTTCTGCAAATGGGGCAAATAATTCCAGAGATTCAAAAGAAAAGTCATGTGAAAATATCTCAGTTTAGAGAGACATAAGATAAATGTATCTGTTCTTATGCTGCCCAGGAACACAGCTACCAGAGCCAAAGTGGTGGAGGACTGGGCGAAGGACGGAGGAGTGCTGCTGATGGGCTACGAGATGTACCGCCTCCTCTCAATGAAGAAGAGTATCGTGGCCGGGAGGAAGAAGAAGAGCAAGAAAACAACTGGACCCGTAGTCGTTGACCTGGATGAAGAGGACAGGCAGCAGGAACTGCTCAAAGGTGTGAAAGAGTAGGGTAAAGAAGAACACAAGGGGGATAGAGGTTGGGAGTAGAGGAAGAAGGAGGGAAGAGACAGAGGACATGAAAACATAGAGAAGGAAATGAAATGTGTTGAAAACTTCACATTTATCAAAGTTTTAAACATCATTATCTCTCGTCTTCTTCCAGGTATCGAGAGAGCTTTAGCCCGACCTGGTCCAGATGTGGTGATCTGTGACGAAGGCCACCGCATCAAGAACTGCCATGCCAGCACGTCCCAGGCTCTGAAGAACATCCGAACTCGACGCCGCGTGGTCCTGACAGGCTACCCACTCCAGAACAACCTGATTGAGTACTGGTGCATGGTGGATTTTGTCCGACCCGACTTCCTAGGTAAAGGGCAAGATCTGTTTTGTACTTCACGTCCTTAATTTGAGCACTTTTCGTGATCAAAAGACTGACTGACTACCTGACTGAGTTTTTACGCTCTGTATGTATCTCAGGTACCCGCCAGGAGTTCAGTAACATGTTTGAGCGTCCTATTCTGAACGGCCAGTGTGTGGACAGCACGCCTCAGGACATCCAGCTGATGAGGTACAGGAGCCATGTGCTGCACAGCCTGCTCGAGGGCTTTGTACAGAGGTGAGACATGAGACGTGCTTTTATAAACCTGCAGTGACAGTCCGGAAAGTAAAACTCAATCTCCTTTAACATTTTATACATCTACTGACATCTGTCTTCATTCCAGACGAGGCCATGATGTCCTGAGGGACCAGCTGCCCTCTAAGGAGGAGCATGTCATCCTGGTGCGTCTGTCTCCCCTCCAGAGGGCGCTCTACACAGAGTTCATGACCCGCTTCAGGGAGGCAGGAAACACCGGCTGGCTCAGCCTCAACCCACTGAAGGCTTTCTGTGTCTGCTGCAAGGTGAGGAGCAGGGCATGTGTGCAGAACTCTGTGAACTCAACCTGCACACAAAAAGATGATTATTTGATAGTTATGGAATTTTTTTTCTCCAAAATTTGAACCTGTTCTATGTTTTGAGAATATATCCCTCAAGTTTTCTTCAAAAAAATCTGTGTCCTTGTAACAGATACAGCCTTTCATATAAAAACTTTCACTATTAACCTATTCAAATCTAAGGGGCTGCATAAAAACACTCTTTAAAACCTAGACAGTGTTTGAAAATGACCCATCATGAAATAAAAAACATTGGATAGCTTAAGCATTTGGCATTTAATGTAAATCATTGCCATTTCCCTTAACTTGTAAAAAAATTAAAGCAACAAACCAAGCAAACTCGCCAAGATACCCCAAGTCTTCTTCCTCCTCCTAAAACATGTCTGTTACGACCTAAACCTTGGTTAGCAGACACATCGTTTGGGTCTGAATCATGGATTTATCAATGAAAACTCTGGAATAAATACTTTTTGCAGACTAAGAGAGCTAACAAACAAACAAACTACATTTCCCGCAATGCATTTCGCTTTACGTCATTGTGCGTCCAGTCTAATTGCATTATTCAAGGTCATTTTATCTGAAATTGGAAACTTTTACACTTCAACTGTCAGTTATTGTTGTGTTACCCAACAAGATATTGAAGCAAATGTGATGATTAATTCCAGTATATTTATTGTGAGTGTCAAATGGCTGATCTCCTGTTATTCGTCAGATTTGGAACCATCCAGACGTGCTGTACGAGGCCCTACAGAAGGAAAACCTGGCAAGTGACCAGGATTTGGACCTGGATGACATGACCTCCTCAGGTCACGCTCGGTGTCCATCCGCTCCCAATCAGAAGTCCAAGCCCCTGGAGAATCCTAACCCCGCCGGGGGACTGAGTCTCAACCAGCTGCAGGAGAAAGCCAATCAGGTCATCACTTACGAATGGGTATGTTCAAAGAGGAGCACTTTATAACTGCAGCGCACATCTTTGAGGACCAGTGCCAGTTTTTCCAACATTTACAAGTTTGTAAAAACTAGTTTGTTTTTTAATGAGACTTTATCTCTTTTCCCAAATGTAATTTTGGCTTTAATTGTGTACTTGTATTCATATACTTTCCTAAACCACAGTATTTGTTCGAGTGTGAAGTTGTAACCTGTCATTGCTTATAATGTAACCTTACTTCTTTAAAGTCAGCTTTAGTGAATGAATGAGACAATGAGAAGAATATCCAAACAGCTGAACTATGAATATGAAACAAATGTTTAGAAGGGAAGTAACTTTTAATCATCTCTCTCTTCATGTGGCCAGGCGAAGGACATCATGTGTGACTACGAACCTGGCATCCTGGAGAACTCGGCAAAGATGGTGATGCTGTTCCACCTGATAGAGGAGAGCGTCAGGACGGGAGACAAACTGCTCGTCTTCAGGTAGAAGATCAGACAAATCTAAGCATTTATCCTCAAGTGTTTCCCTGTCGCTCAGCTTTATAACATGATTTGGTTCCATTCTACTTTGCATTACATTTACATTCAAGCCTGCGATCTATTGTGATACCTCTCCTGTCTTCCTCCTGCAGTCAGAGTTTGTCCACGCTGACGGTGATCGAGGATTTCTTGGCAAAGAGGCCGGTGCCTCACTCGCCCAATGCGTCAGACAGAGAGAGACCCAATCAGAACTGGGTCCGCAACCTCAATTACTACAGTAAGTGGTCATTTATAATGATTGACAGATGTGTTTTCGAGTCTGGTTTGAATTCAGGTAAATATGCTGAATATATCTGGAAGACGAGTCCGTTTCAAAAGTTGTTTTAAGCACCAACACCAGTGACACATTAGGTCAGATATGGTCTGAACATTTTCTTCATCAGCATATTCAAGAAGTAAAAACTCACAATGCAAAATATTACACACACTTAATGTGGTGGTGGTAGTGGTTTAGTTTTCTGCTGCTCCTTTGTCCATTGACTTACAATAAGTGCTGCCACCTGCTGGTCTTTCTCGATGTCATCCAGACTTTGGTTAATGGTTCTCCACAGGCACAGAAAGGAGTTGCATTTGTGTATTAGAGATGTATCAAGATTCACTTTGAAAATATGATCTGTGTACATTAGATTAGTCATGTTAGCCATAATATATCTCAGGGTAATGGCCAGACATAGAGATCCAAAACAGTTTTCACAAATAGCATCTTTATTTTGAACTGGGGTCCTGTGTTCACTTATTTTATTTTCTGTGTAGATTTCATATAAATGCAGGTGGAGACTAAAATTGAAGGATGGAGTTGCAATATTAGTATTTTTATTTGCAGATAAAAACTCAGTTGACCTACCTCAGCCAAGGTCCAACAGTCCCCTTCAAAGTTCCATCAAGCTGCACAAAACTTTTCTTAAGTTCCAGGAATTATTCCCTGGGAAAATGTTGAAAAATCATCCATTCCTTACAATGTTAAAGAAAGTGGGGGGAAAAAAGTTTCGTGAAAATCAGTTTCGGTTGTTTGTGTGTAATTTTGGTTTCAAACAAACAGAAGGGGGGAAACATAATCTCCTTGGCAGAGGTAATTATTGAGCCAGTAAATAAAACTATTCTTGAGAGAAAAGAGATAAAAAAGCACAGTGTAATACCCATTTATATTAACCTGTAATCTTCCCAAGGCATCACCGTGTGCAAAGCTGCCGAAAACCTTGTTGTAACTCTGTATTGGTTGTGTGATGTGTTGAAGGACTGGATGGAAGTACGACGGCCTCAGAGAGAGAGAGACTGATAAACCAATTCAACGATCCATCCAACACCTCCGCGTGGGTTTTCCTGCTGTCAACCAGGTAACAAGTCAACTCAGTAGCAAAAATAGAAATGGTAGAAATATTGAGGTTGGAAAGGAACATGTAGCTGCTTTAAACCAACATTACTTGACCTCTTTGTTCCTCAGGGCTGGTTGTCTGGGTGTGAATCTGATTGGGGCAAACCGCGTGGTGGTGTTTGATGCCTCCTGGAACCCCTGCCATGATGCCCAGGCCGTGTGCCGTGTCTACCGCTATGGACAGAGGAAGCAGTGTCACATCTACCGACTTGTGTGCGACTTCACGCTGGAGAAGAAGATCTATGACCGCCAGATCTCCAAACAGGGAATGTCAGGTGAGCTGGTGGCAGGGATACATGGAACATTACAGTCAAGTAAATAAAAAAATCTCCCATAATGTATTACATAAAATACATTATGGGAGATTTTGGTAGATTAAAAAAGAAAAAAACTAAATAAGTGAGAGATAAAAAATCGAAGAAAGGCCTAAAACAATACATACTACATAAAACCATGTAGAATATATTGAGCCAGTGTTTCCAACAGAATTAATTCAATTTATGGCGGAAACAGGGGTGCACGTGCACACACTCAAGGGTCATTCTCACGCAACAGATTCCAAGTGACTAAGAGACCTAAGATTGAAAGATGAGCTCTCACGTGAGAGAAACAACTGCATTGCATGCCACAGTTGTAGCTGAAACCACTGTCTGCACAGACAGTAAAAAGCAAGAGCACACTGTATCGTAACAGTGAGGACATGGGAAATGCCGCAAAAACCAATAGAGATCTCTTATGTTATAATGATGTGCGATAGAGAGCTGTGTTTATCAGCCTTTTCCAGTTTTGCTCTGTTTTTGTTCATGTGCTGTTCATGACCTAGCATCCCTGTCTTCTTAACCCTTCCTCTTCTTCCTCTTGTTTCCTCATCAGACCGGGTGGTGGACGACCTGAACCCTGTGCTGACCTTCACCAAGAGGGAGGTGGAATCTCTTCTTCACTTTGTGGACGAGGAGCCGGACCCCACCCAGGTGCTGCTGCAGCCCCAGGACAGTATGGAGCGAGTCCTCAGAAAGGCGCTGCACCACTATCCTCACCTAATCACCAAGGTAGATGCTTTTCACCATGCTTTTTTCCCCCCTGACTGTAGTAAGGCATTTTTTAAACCTCCACAGATTGTTGCAACACAAGCCCAAATAACTTAGAAGTTGGCATTTTAAATTAGATAAACTTCACATGTAAACAACCTGTCACTGTCTTCTGCCTCTATCAGAGAGACATAAATGAATGACACCTATCTCACATCTTTTTTCATCCAACCTTTCTGCCTTCCAGCAACCATTCCCCCATGAGTCCCTGCTGATGGACCGCAGGGAGCTGAAGCTGAGCAAGGCCGAGAAGTCGGCTGCAAAGAAGGGTTATGAAGACGAGAAGAGGGCCTCGGTGCCGTACACCCGTCCTTCCTACGCTCACTACTACCCCGCCAGTGACCAGAGCCTCACCAACATCCCCGCCTTCAGCCAGAGAAACTGGTCAGTGACTCACAGGCTCAATGACTGCCATTAAAACTAATGGGGAAACAAAACTCTCTGTTTAATTCCTGTATCATTTTGCCTTTTTAAGAGCTTTTTAGTAATGAGTACTTGTGACATAAAGGAATCACATGCAAGGTTGTATTTAAAGATTTTAAATGTAACTTTTAGGGATTTTTTAATGTTTATTTTATGCAGCTTTTCAGTTCAATCCATCAGCTCAAATAAAAATTTACATTTAAACTTTTATAAAGTCCTTCACAAGGACCTGTATAGAACATGTATGTTACATGTAATCCTGGTTTAAAAATGAACTATTCATAACTGTCTGCTCAGGCGTCCTCCACCTCGTACCGAGGAGAAGCCAGTGGCCAGTGTCCGGCCAGTCCAGTCAACCCCGGTTCCCATGATGCCCCACCAGGCGTCTGCAGGCTCTGCCACAGGCAACGATTTGTCCAGATCCAACCTGGGAGGATTCTCTGTTAAATGCCTGGAAAAAGCCGGGGTCTTTGTACAGAAGATCGTCACTAGTAATGGTACGCAGACTGTACATGCTCTGTACAATTTACTCTGCTTCTTATCGCCCCAACATACCACGCATCCTGTTGAACTGAATCTTCTTTCTTTGTGATATTAGAAAAGGAAATGTTTCTATTTAGTCATCTTAAATTTCTTTTTGTCTTTTTCAGACATAGTGATTCCAGGCACCAACAGTTCAGCAGATGTTCAGGCCAGAATCACAGCTGGAGAGAGCATCCACATCATCAGAGGCACCAAAGGTAATCAATCACTGCACACTGTTAACAAATAATACTGGTTATAATAATCAATTAACATTTTTTTACATAACATGATCTTTTTTTAATTGATTATTTCCTGTTTTAGGGACTTACATCAGGACGTCTGATGGTCGAATCTTTGCCATCAGAGCAGCTACGAAAGCCAAGACTGCAGAAGAGAGTACAACAGCAACACCCAAAGGTGAGATGGTTCATTTACCAGAAGTGAGCTCTACTAAATTTATGAGGGAAAAAAGTCACAAAAAATAATTGACACTAAATTATTCAAATAAAGCCAGTGTGGTCTTTTCTTAAATCTAATCTCTTCCTTCTTCTTCTCAGACTTGCAGGCCCCACCAGTCGAGGTTTCAACCAATGGTAGTGACAGTTGTAAGTCACCGGACATTAAGCAACAGGTACCATCCAAGTCTGTGCCCCGCCCTCTTTCACCTGACAGCCCAGAGATCATCGATGAGCTGCAGCGCTACACAGGAGCCACAGCGCAGCCAGAGAGGGCAGCAGTGAGCAACGCAAACAATCTGCCTTCCACCAAACGGCCTCAGACCAATGGCAGCAGTAGGAGTAGTTTACCCAGTGGAACTATGAGCCACCATGATGCCTCTGTGACTAATGCAGTGCAGCCCAGCATTGACACCACTGTCGCCCAAGACCTGAGAACAGGCTCCAAGCGCAAAGCCTTCACCCCGCCTTCGGATGAGCAGCCCAGCAAGCAGCCGTCTGCTGCCAAGCACTCCTCTGCCTCTCTGGCCTCTCAAGGCTTCCCCTTCACTGGGGGCTACGGCCTCCCTCCACTGGGCCTCAACCCTGCCATGTTGAGTGGGTCACTGGGGCACCCGCTCTATGTTGGGGCTGGTTCGCCTTACCTCCAGCCCCCCCACACTCAACTGGGGGACCCCGGTTACATGTACGCAGATCTGTTTGGCTTGGGCGGAGCCTGCTCTTCCTCCACCTCATTGTCGACAACCACGGCTACTGCCGTCTCATCCTCCTCATCAGTTAAAGCTGCCAGTTTGGTTCCAGGTGCCCTGCCACCATTCATGCTGAACCCCAGCATGGCGGGCATGGCTGGGATGCTCCCTCCAGGCTTCCCCCTCTCTTACAATCAGTCTCTGGCCAGCCTCTACACAGGGTCCATGCTCCCAGGCGGGCTTCCAGGACCAGCGGCCACTCCTGGCCCCGCTGGAGCCAGCTTCCTTTCCCAGTATCCTCCCACTGCTGCCTCCAGCTCCTCCTCATCCTCCCCTTCTTCCTTCTCCCCCTCAGCACGTTTTGAGGGCCACCGGGGTCCAGTTCTGGTGAATGGTGGGAATGTTAGCAGCACCAGCTGCTCAGATGACGATGATGATGTAATTGAGGTTAGGGGACAGTGACAGATGAATGATGTGCTCGTTTGAGAAAGCTTGATTCAATTGAAAAATAATTACAATAGGATGATATCCTCTGTGCCAGGATACAGGCCTCGAAGAGCCTGTGGCCGAAGCTGTGTGGAAATGGACAAAAAATTCAAAATGCATATACGTGATGACAACTAAGTCCCTGCTAACAAGTCTGTCTGCCTTGGATAAACAGTCCAAGCAGAGATTGAACACAGACTGGAGACAGAGCAAGACATTTTAATGCTGAATATCAGAATATGAAACCTGAGGAAGAAAAAACCTCCAGAGGGAAGAAAATCAAAAGACTTAGGGCTTCCAAGTTTTTTTGTTCAATAATGGCATTGAGATACTGATCACTGGACTTAGAACTGCTGATTGTGGGCCTGCAGTGACCACAAATGGCCACTAGTTGTCCTGTTGACTTTTGAGATTCTAGTTCTGCAGCTTTGTTAAATTTCATAACTCTTTTGCTTTACTAGCTAATTAAATGATGATATTAGGAAGGAATTGCTCATGAAAAAAGGTGTGATGATTAAGTTAGCTGGTAGTAACATTTGTTAAATATCAATAACTGAAATGGTATTGTTTGTCACATGTCAAATATTGCTACTGAATATTTCTTCAAATGATAAATGATATGATAGGTTAAAAGATCAAACAGAAGTTTTAAATGATGGTAATAATTCACTGCCAGGACAGTTGATGGTGTTGTACAAAGTCATCTTAATTATTGAAGAAGCATTTTAAGGCCTGTTGAGGTTAAAGTCAACTCTTGAAACCTTCAAACTCTAATGAAGAAGAATGTATGCTAAATCAAATGCCTTTAAACCAGGCCTCCTATTTAGGCATCAGGCGATCAGATTTTTCTTTTTTTCTGTGTGTGTGTATTTTCTATTTATGTGATCTTTCATTTTTTTAAAGAAAATGATTGCCTAAAAACAGCCAGGTAAAATTGAGAAAAAAAACTGTTAGTAGTGTGGTGTCCTCCTCGTAGCGGAGAAACAACCAACAGAAAATGCCTTTTTGCCTCCATCTTTCTGAATGTGAACTGTGAGAGAGAGGAGAGGCAAAGAGAGACAGACGGTCGCCGCGGCTCTCTGAATCTCGCCCACAGTCTTACTGTAGCCTAGCGAAAAACGATGCAAAACACTCACTCAAGCCTATATATGTATTTGTACAAACCCCGGAGGAATTGAGCTCACAAACCCCCTGAGTTTTGTTTTCGCCTGTGTCGTTCCTTAGTCTGTGTTTGTGCATAGTGTTCATAAGGGTTACAAAAGGAATGGTTTTAAAAAGAAAATTAAGTGAATAGAAACTTGTATTACTTGGTTTTTGTGACTCGTACTGACATGGATTCCATCTTTGCTCTGCTCTATCTGTCTCATGCTATTTTGTCACCAGAGGACAGTGTGAAACCAAACTCATGTTTTTGTTCTTTTTTTAAGAGATGGTGTAGCTTTGCCAAAAAATTGATAAATGCACAAGCACATCATCGACCTCCATCGAAGAGGATTTTGTGTCTTATGAGACCAAATTACGCTGTCAACTTCTTAAAATCCTCGACAGCAGCACACTCTCTTTTCACTTTAGCATCCTCACGGCCACAATCGACACGTACATCTCTCTCTGTATGACCCTGCAGGAAACACTGTACACGGCACTGCACTGTAAAAAGAGACACAAATCTGTACACGTCTTTGGACTGGTCCAACGCTGGGACAAGCGTCATCATCGCATTATCATGTTCTTCTTCATATTAACCGCACGCCACCATTCAGCTGTTCCAAAAGATCCCCTTTGATCACATCAACCGTTCAATCACTGTCCTCGTAGAAAATCTTCTTCTCCGAAACGGCTGCAGGAAGAGCTTTAAAAAACCACCCGCTCTTTTGTGGAAAGCGAATCTCTTTAACATCATCAAAGCAAAGACTAAGCATTTACTGTCATTTCCCTTCCATGTATTTTGCTCATCATATTGAAATTGTTAGTTTACTTATGTTTCTTCTGTTTTTGTTCTCTTTTTACGATGTTTGAATTTACCAAATTAATTTATTTATGACGGTGCGTATTTATTCATTTTTATTTTTGTACAATGTTTATTTGGTCTCCTTTTTTTTCTTTTCCTGGTTTCTAAACATTTTACGGTCATATAACTTTTGTTGTTACTGCAGATGGAAAATGCTTAATTTTTGTGTTTGTTTTTTTAAGAAGAAGAAGTTTGATCTGTCAATCTGACCAGACACGTGAACTTGCATGTGGACCAATCAACTGATTTGTTACTGTGCACACTAATATCCAGGAACAGCATATTTAAGAAAGATGGAGTAAATATCATGTCCTGTTTACAGTAACTGATTAGCTGTTGATTATAATTTAAGAAGGTCATTAGGGATATATTGATTCTCACCGTGATCAGCTCTGATTCCTTCATCCTGCATCATCACAAGCTGTATTCAGGATACTTATCGGAGAATTTGTAAATGAATAATATGAGCCATTTGTGTGCATGTAAATGAAGCTAATTCACAAGTCATGGGTCAGAAACAGAGGCAGTCATATCACTTCAAAACTGAAAAGAAAATGTTGAAATCAAGTGCTTCTCTTTTCTTTTACTTTTTTTGCTCTTCATCATCATATCATCCGAAATGTGTCCATCTGTGTCGTCGCCATGATGGAAAACGAGCAAGTTTCCTCAGTGTTGAACTGTTGTGTTGTCAGCTCAGCCTTTGCTGCGCAGTTCGACTGCTCTTTTATTTCACAGCTTTCTACTTGAATTTACATATTTATTTATACAAATCCATTTGGTTGGACAAGCTGAGCCGACTATCTGAATTCCATTTTAGCCGAGGAGAAGATTAAAGCTGCTGTCTTTGAGGATTGGCTCTAGTCAAAGCCTGTTGTGTAGTTTATCGATGGATAATGTGTTTGACCGTGGATTACTTTTAGATCCTTTTTTGTGTTGTTTTTTTGGAAGTTTGTAAATAAAAAGAAACATGTTCTAAATAACACTTTTCCTTGTGTCTTTATTAACAGTATTAGAAGGTGGAGCAGGATTTCAAGTTTGATTCAAAGAAAATGAACAAATCACATGACAAGAATATAATCACAATCAGTGATATAGTAATGATAATAAACTTTATAAAGAACCTTTTACAGTTTCAAAAGGCTTCACAAGATACTAATTAATTTAAAATAAACTCATTTGAGGATCACACATAAGGAAGGAAATACAGTAAAATGCTACAGATTCTAAAATAATTTAAATTGAAGAGCCAGGTTTAAAAATAAATATAAACAATCACAAATGAATGCACTGTACTCTACACAATACTGTAATTTCCTGAAGCCTTTGCAAACCTATATTGTTCCATTCCATTTTCTTTTTCCTTTGAAAAAGTAATCATGTAACCATGTTTTTTTAATACATTGATGAACATGGACAGTAAGAGTAAATACATTTTTACACAATGCATCACCACATTACAAATAAATGTCTTTTTTCCAGATGAATAAAGTATAAAGCAAAAAAGAGTGCCAACTGAAAATAGTTGTCTTTTAGATGTTGTCTTCTGTTGAGTTATCTATAGTGATATGGAAAGGATCAATGTTATTGATTGTTGCAGGATGATTGATCGCCATGTTCTTATAACGTAGTGGTAAGATGGATGGAGGGTGAACTCTGGTCTGGTTAGTACCCTCCACTCTCCACATCCGACTTTAATTAACACTCGCTCTTATGGGGTCTGAGAGCAGGGAGGCCCCTGGGTAAGCAAAACAAAAAAAGAGGTATGGCAGGTGGATTATGGACTGCAGTGTTTATTCAATTTCTATATTTTATATTTGTGTATATCTCTTTACATCTAAAAGTATTACATGCATTACTTTACTGGTGTCTATGTCTGACTGCCCTCTTGCTGATGTAAGGTTGCAAATTTCCCCACAGTGACGCTAATGAAGGATTATCTTATATTATCTTATCTTACACTATAGGCTACACTGTTATACTACACTGTACTATACTGCAGTACACCACATGTCACTGTACTAAACTGTACAATATTATACTATACTATTGCTAACTACAGTGTACACATCAGTATATAAACACTGAGACTTGAAGAGAATTGATGATGTGGATTATCTTTGTTCATATCCTGAACATAACGAGCTGTGACTCACCTTCACCAGTTCACTCTCTGAGTTAGTGAGTACATCAGCTCCACTTTCACGTGACGCGCCCTGAGTTAAGAACTCGGTTTCCCGACGTGCTCTGCTGTTGGGTCGTTACGTGCCCTGACGTAGTTCCTCGTTGATGACGGTGGCAGACAGCCTCGGTGTGTGAGGAGGAGTTCCTGCTAACACAAGATACATTTTCCTACGAGCTGCTCAGGAAACACACAAGAGCAGGGAAATAGACGAGTGACACCGAGGCATTGTGGGAAACCTGTGAGCTGTACGTGAACTGACGCTGCCCCTCGAACGACTCTCACGGTTGTTTTGGAGGCCTGTTGCTAACTACGGGAAATCCTCGGGCTAGCCCCGGTGGTCACTGGGCCGAAACAGGACGCGGAGGACCGGGAGCTGGAGCCCCGTGGGCTGGTTCAGTCGACGCTAGCTGCTCCATCTTTACTGTCAAAACGTAGACGTAAGCTCCCCTGCTCCTCCGTGGTGGATATAAATCAGCGTAACTCGATACGATGCCAGTTTGACAGCTAGCTAACATTAGCTCTCCTGTGTTTACAAGCTAAAGCTCATCTGGAGAAGTGGCCACTGAGGTGTTTTTGCTTCAGTCGGGGTTTCCATGTTTGGCCTCTTTTCACCTGTCTGCTCGCTGGTGGTGATTTGAGAACTTGTTGAGCTGCTGTGTCCTCGGACTGAAGGTCGCCAGCTCGATCAGAAGGTTTCTTAGCTAAGGTTATCACATCCCCAGGCTTATCTGCTGCAGCGCAAACTTTGTTGGCTGCTTGGATTGTGAGGCTCAGTCGAGTTTCTTTGATTCCGTGAATGTTAGATACAGAAAATCAAATGTATTGTTAAGGTTTAAACACACGTATCGATATCTAATGCGAAGACGAACGTGTTTGGTCAGAAGGAGAACAAGTTTACTGATTTGATTATTGGGACACAGCTGAACCACAGTATCCCGGATGAAGGCTCACAGAGAAGTGTGGGGTTTGATGCTGTCAGGACTCCCAGGTGTCACCTGCTGTGCTCGGCATTGTTAATCTCACAGCACCAACATCTGCTGCTTCAGAGGGAATCCATCTGCTGCTTGTGTCTCTGTCTTGAGCTCAACCAGACCACGATGAATCGCTACCTGCCGGTGGCCCGGCAGCACTTCCTGGCTGCTCTGGCCAGCACCAGTGTTGTGGTGAAGACCATCAGTGCCGTGGTGGTGCTCCTCTACCTGCTGTCATGGGCCGTCGACACTCCGTACACGCTGGGGGTGACCCCCGGGTACCTCTTTCCGCCCAACTTCTGGGTGTGGACACTGGTGACCCACGGGGTCGTGGAGCAGCACGTCTGGGGCGTGGCAGCCAATGTGGGGACAGTTATGGCCTGTGGCCGCCTCCTGGAGCCTCTGTGGGGCGCTCTGGAGCTCCTGATCTTTTTTGCAGTGGTTAATTTGTCTGCAGGCCTCCTGGCTGGGCTCTCCTACCTCCTCACCTATGTGGCCACCTTTGACCTGGACTTCCTGTTTGCTGTGCGGGTCCATGGAGCAGCTGGGTTCCTTGGAGGTGTCCTGGTGGCGTTGAAGCAGACCATGGGGGACACCACGGTGCTCAGAGTGCCACAGGTGAGGCCATCAAACAACTCAGGTCTGGTAGAAGTGCTGTCTTTTTTGCTATACCCTGGTTATTATCCATCTTCTGCTAATTAAATTAGCCTAATCTTTACTCTTCACATTATAAGATAAAGTAAGTAAAGTAAGAAGAGCTCAACAGAAACTGTGGATGTTTGTATCATAGTTTTGGTCTCAGTTTTAGACTCATTAAAACTCCTACAGAATATTTACAGCGCTCATATAAATATTGTGGACACCTCTAGACATCAACACAACTTAGTGTTACTTATAATTTAATGAACATAAAAACATGAAAGTGTATTTGTGGCATTTTTAAAAGTTTGTTCACCCCTTTTCTAGTTATGTTAAGTTGTCCTTATGAATTATCAGGATTGTCCCAGAGCTAATAAAGTCTCTGACAGCATTGTGGTAAGACTCAGCTACTAGCAGTGGTATACTGCTACCACAGACTTAGGAATGACAATTTAGTTGAAGTATACACTTTTAAGAACAAATAGATACAGCAAGCATATTTACATCTGCTGCTGTGCCTTTGTATAGAAACATGTCAGTTTTTTGTGTGGATTGTGAATTAAACTGAGGGATTTAAGTGTTATTCCTAATATTGTTATTAATTCATTCGATTTTTTCTTTTGGGTTGTTAATTTAAAATAGCACTTTCTCCATTTAGTTTTTTTTATTAAGGTGCGTTCACACAGTCTTATCAGGCTTTCAAATGATTGTAATATAGAGTGACCATGATATTTTATTAAAGCCCTGTAGGCCAGTGGTTTACAGGCCAATGGTTCAGCCGTTGAGTGTTTTTTTTCTTGTCCTGTATTCTCTGGTTGAGCCACATGATTTTCTTTCAAACATTCCAAGATGTAATCTGATGCTCTACCGGAGAGCAGTGTACGCTGCGTCCAGATAAAGGTTTCGTTTTTTGCTGAAGTGCACTCTAGCTACACATTCCTAACACGCCTCTTTTACTACCAGGCTACTTGGCTTTAGCTATTATTAATTTAATTAATTGCTTTTTATATGTTTGTATCAAATTTGGTCACTTCTCTCATTCATCACAGTTAATCAGATCAGGAAATGTTCATCAAAATGCTTGTAGATGTTGACAGTGACTCCTTTCTGCCACCCTGGCAGGCAGTCAGCCATTGTTTGGTGTTCCCATTCCTGAACCTAGTACACTTGTGTGAGTTGAGGGAACTGGCAGTCTGTAGACAAACAAGTATCTATCATGCCTGATCATTCTTCTCTTCTGCTCCTCTCACAGGTGAGACTCAAAGCAGCACCAGCTTTGGTCCTCCTCCTCTTGGCCTTACTGCGCCTGTCTGGTCTTCTCTACAGCTCTGCCCCGCTGGCTGCGTACAGCTACGGTGCACTGTCTGGCTGGGTCTACCTGCGCTTCTACCAGAGGCACAGCCGGGGCCGCGGGGACATGTCAGACCACTTCGCCTTTGCAAGTTTCTTCCCTGAGGCACTGCAGCCCGCTGTGGGGCTGCTGGCGGGGCTGGTCCACTCTGTTCTGGTGAAGATGAAGGTGTGCAGAAAGATGGTGAAGAGATACGACGTGGGGGCGCCCTCCTCCATCACTATCAGCCTGCCAGGGACTGACCCACAGGATGCAGAGAGGAGGAGGTGAGTCAGAGCAAAGGAGACATTTCACTTTTCATCTCCATGCATATATGCTTAGACTGATCTGAAAATACCTTCTGTCTGATATTTTGGTGTACCTTGTTATCAACTACCTAATTAGAGAGTACTTGTTTACCAGATGCTGTTGTGCAGGATTTTACCTCTACATACATTTTTTGATGAAATGGCTCTGTGTAAATTGCAAATCTATTGCTAACTTAACAATGTGACCCAAATTCTCTACGTCATTAAATAGCTGTAGTTGGTCACACTGCTTTTAATTTGTGCGAAGAAGAAACCTGTCATAAGGTTTCATTACTGTTAAAGCACAGGTGTAAGTCCATCAATAGCTATGCTACTTATCTCTTCAGGCAAGGGGCAGAATACACCCTGGACAGATTGGCAGACTATCACAGGGCTGACAGTTAGGAAATGTAGCCGTCAATTGGAAGAAATGCAGAATACCTGAAAAGCACAGAAACCTGAAGACAGAAGTTGCATAATAGAACATAGATAGCAGACCCGAGCCCATCAGGACCTGGGCTGGATTCTGAAGATTTTAAAATTATGTTAGGGTTGCGTTCTCTCACATTGGCTTAGCTATGTATTTGATTTTTACACTGTACATATTTGTAATCAGAGAGAAAAACACCAACACAGCTCAGTTTACCTTAATTGCATAAAGCTTGGGTAAAAAAACACAGAATAGTTTCAGGTCGGGCATGGTTAGTTTTCTCTCAGGCTTGGATGGATTCAGACAGAAAAATGCGACCTGATCTGTTGCATAATACTAAAGTTTTCTCTGTGTGGGACGATTTAGAACCGAGCCAACGGAGATGCCTCCATTTGGGGGAAGGACAGTTTCCTCTCCTGTGGCTGCCTTGTTGTCCCCGTCTTGTTCTGACACTCTGTTCATCTCTTAAATCTTAAGTGACAACTTTTGACATGACCTCTCCACGCTTTAATTGATCAGTTAGGCTGCTTCCCTTTTACCAAACATGGTGTATGAAGGCAGCGGCTGATAAAGTGATGATGTTTTACTTTGGAATCTGCTACAATTGAGCGCTTGAAGAAAATAGAATATTTTTCTATAATCAGGTAATTAATTTATCACAGTGATAAAAGTATTACACAATCAATGATGTTGTGCCCTATCACAGGTGTGGGTGACAGATTCTAGAACTTTTTTTGCTTGTGAGGTGACAGTGCTAACCACTCTGCCTGGCACACCCTCACATTAAATACACCAGTTAAATAGGAGACAGACGGCGTATTGTTTTTGTCTTAGCTTTGTTTACTCAGGTATGGTCTGCTGAGCCTCTGCTCTCTTTTAGCCATAGTCCTCAAACACTTCACACATATTCATACCATAGCTCCATAACACACACACACACACACACACACACACTCAAACTCACACTTACTCCTACTTTCAAGCTGTCAGGTTGGTTTTCTTCCTGTTGGAATGTCTGACACTCAATTACAGAAACATAGACATGTGAACCTGTCATTTTTCATGGGGTCTTTTTTTACCTTTTTTTAAATCGGAAACTTATTAAAGAACAGTAAAGGAACAACGTTTCTTTTCCAACATTCAGAATATCTTTGGTAAATACTCACTCAGATGCATATGTTCAGCATTTTGAAACTTCTCAGTTACAGGGAAACAGCTGTAAATGTGACATCGAACGAGTTTGGTCACAATTTTTAGTAACTGACTGGGTTTCTAAATGTTTCAGTCTGTGCATTACTCATCTGCTAAGTGTCTCCTTCCTCCCGTATGACACACTTCAAACACGTCCACCATGTGAATTATTTGAAGGCCTCACTCGAAGTTTGATTTTGATTACCTTGTGATTTAGAGGTTGGCGTCTGTTGAAAAGGAAATTAACCTTATGGCCATTACTTGAAATGTAATTGCTACTTCTCAAGGATAAGTGGGACATTCAATCAACAAATTACATGTTTTATTCCAAAAATGATGTCATTCCTTTCATAACTGTTCTTACACTTGATTACTAGTACCAAAAAACAGTAACAGCATAAGGTGTGTTATTCCCCCGGGTTTATTTATTTTTACTACCAACTAACGTTCAGTCCCTTAATTGTGAGTTCACACATTTATCTTATTCTCTAGGACACTTAACTAAGCAGGGAATGAGAGTTTCTGTCATCTACATTGTTTTTCTCTTTTGAAAGAGTTTTATCTGAAACCAAAGAGATATTCCTTTAATAATATATGTAGTGTAGTCTATTTTCTAGTGGAGAGGAGACAGCAGGTGTGACCAGTGGACAAGTTATATCATCCGTATATTCCTGAATAGCACATAACAGCTGTAACACTGACTACCATGGCTACCTATTCTACATATTTGTACTTGATGTTTCACACATTTATTGAAGCATAATGTTGTAATGGAATCATTAGATCACATCTACATTGAACATTGAAACAATCATACATGTGTCTCATGTCAAACCTTTCTCTCCCCTTCTTCCTCCCAGACAACTGGCCCTCAAAGCTCTGAACGAGCGTCTAAAGCGTGTGGAGGACCAGTCTGCCTGGCCGAGCATGGACGACGAGGAAGATGACGATGAGGACGAAGTCAGAACTGACACACAACCACTCCTCCCAGGTGGGCAAGACCCCTCCTCCTCCACACTGAGACCAGCAGGGGGACTCATCGGCGCCTCCACCTCATCATCCTCAATGTCGCAGAGCGGTGGAGCAGCATCCACAGGCGGCACACAACACCCAGAGTCCAGCATTATCAGCTTCGAGGATGCACCTTCTAGATCGTAACAAACGGAACGTATGTGTATGGATCCGCACGCTGTGTTCTGTGTCACTAGCAGGTACTAGCATTCACTGTCTCTGGCTAGTATACTGATATATTTGGTGACAGTGATTAGGCATACACTCTGTATCACACACACACACACACAAACACACAACATCTTTGACGACCATGCGCTCACACAAACACTGTCAATGTCATCGTGAAGCCCAGAGAGGTGGTAACTGTACAGTGCTTTCAGTTCAGCTGTTTGGTTGTTAACACTCAGTGTATTTGGGCAAATTGGACACTTTATTCTTCTCATCCTTTCTGCATCATCCAGAAATTCTCTCTTGTCTGGACTTTATCCCAACAGCAGAGCTCTGTCTGCTGCAAACTCCCTGTGTCTCTTTCTCTTGGTTCCTAAATAAATAACAAAATGTTTGTACAATATTCTTTTTGTAAGTCATTTTCAGAGCAGCCATAATTGGTCTCTGATTGCCTGCTACAAGAAAGTCGTCAGCGACAGAGACTTGTGCCGAATTTTTGATTTTTGCTAAAAGGCCAACTCTTTTCACACACTGTTGTGATAAGTGCTAAAAAATGGCTGCACGAGACATTAGCGTTTGTTTGTTTGGTTCCAAATATGAAACCAGATGTGTAACAGAGGAGAAAGTGTGAAAAGCATGTGCTTGCTCAGCACCAGCTGCTGTACCAGAGGAAAGAAGCTGCTGCAGGTCTGACCTGCTGATGAACTTTGATTACAAACCTCAAGATTTGAAGAAGTGCCAGGGGAAAGAATTTTTCAAACCAGGTTCAATTGCTGCCTGGTGTCTCTCTGGAACAGCAGGCTGAGAAATGGACTCTATATCAGTTTTCTTTTGGGTTTTTTATTTGTTTTTATGGCCCAGATTGATGCTCAGTGGAAGTCTTTCAATGAAAGTTTGGTATTTTTATCTTTTTTTTTTCTCCAACAAAATCAAAAGAAACTATCAAACCTTGTTTCTGTGCATTAACAAGACATGTAAATGGTGTTACTCTCACACAGACGATGGGGATGATTTTGATTCTTCTTGTTTTATGAGTTCATTATTTTTGTAAGTTAATTTCAGGCCTAACCCTGGAGCACCCTCCTGCAACCTTTTACACTTCCACATCCCACGATCAGAAATGAGTAATAGATCTTGAGTTGTCTGAGTGGATATGATTAAGAGAAGTGTACAGTGTCTGTCATGGTTGTATTGGTCATTTGGCTCAAATGCAGAGGAGGGATCATGGGAAGATTAGATAACAGCCTGTATCCACAGTGTGCTGGTATTTTTAAGGATTTAAGTCACAATGATCAGATTCACAGTTTGTATTTGTATCTGTGATGTGTCAAGAGGAGAAATGACTTTATAGACAGAAGATGCCTGTGTTGACCAGTAGTCGTTCTGGTTCAGGTCTCTCAATCACATCCTTTGCACTTGTACATCTCTCATTTCTAAAATGACAGTGCTACACTGAAGGCGACGATGAATAAATTCACTATGGAGGTTGAGGGGCAGCTAAATTGTTTAATCTAAAATGTTTCATAAATTCCAAACAGTCAAAAAGGTCAGTGACACATTTTTTTTCTGAACTCAATCACTGTACATGTCTGGTTTTATTACTGTCACAAATCACATTTTTTAAATTCCAATTTCCCTTATGACCTTGTTGATTAAAGTCAGCTGCAGCCAGTAAATTATTTTACACGTAGCAATCCCGGTAATGGGAAACTGAAGCATTTATTAACATTGTGGTCACAAGGTTGAAATAGATTTTATTGGAATTCCCAAGTTGTCAGGAAAGTGAATATGCACCTCTGCTGCACATATTTCGTATATAACGTGAAAAATCAACAAGCTCAACAATTTCTTTTTTCTTTTTTTTTTATATTTCAGACTTAAAATGCAGATTCATGTCACCAGGCCCGAGAAGCTATTTGAAATGTAGGAATAACATACATACTGTTACACGTGAGATGTATAGTGGTTATGTTTATTTTACTATTTAATGTTAGTTTTGTGGAGAATAATCTTGGAGTGGCCTTACTGATCACTTTATTTCCCACCAATTTAAAGAGTATAAATATTGACGAACCAAATCAAATATAAGACACAGCAGGTTATTTGTGGTTATTTATGATCGTCATGCTGTCATTTATTTACCAGCAGTATAATCTTTAACATGAGCAAAATCTTCTCCTCCTGTCCTCTCTGCAGTAGTAGCCTGTGATTTGCAAAAAACAAAATGACAGATCACCCTTGACAAGGTAGCACTAAAGAGAAATCCCCTGCATCCAGAACACTGTAGAACTAAAGACAGTGAATGCATTTAATTTGTCCAGTTAGACTCAATTCGAGGAGCATGTTCCCAGATGGACATTTTCAAGTACTGGCAATTCAGATTAAATGTGAAGAGTTTTGACTCTTGGAGTCCAAGCAATGGAAGAGAGTTTCTTTTCACCTGATGGGATCATGTTATTGTTGGGAAGTGATAAGCCATATTCGAGTGATGAAACTCTGTGTGTTCTGTCCTGTGTTTCTCCTCTTTTCTCCTGCTCATTCCACTGTGCTCTTACTAGTGGACGTTTACATTGGATGAGTGGGGCCAGTAAATATGAATGAGTATTAGTATTGATGAATGGACGCAGGGATGAGGGACGTGTTTTCGGACTAGCCCCAGCTTTAATGTGGAGAAGGTTTGATTACAGTCATATATCTGAAATCTCAATCTGTTTTCACAGTAGACATGAAGGAAGAGTGTCAACAACCCTCTAACAGTAACTACATAATGCAACAGTGCAGTCACACTTGCAGTCACACTCTGGTGATGTTTTTTTAACTCAGCTGCTGGCAGAACTCTCACATCACATGATAAACATCTACAATGCAGCGAAACCCATTGAAACATGGACGCATGCAGATTACTGTGTAGTTGAAACATGGCCATGTGAACATTGAAGTTGGCAGTCTGAGGTTTCAGATTGAGTCTGGCTAATCTGACATTCAGCCAAATCCTCCACTATCGGTTCTGTCATCTTCAGTTTTTTTTTTCTCTCTATTCTTGTTTGTTCTGGCTCTGAACGCCCTCTAAGATAAGTTAGGATTGCAATCACATTTGAATCATTGAGATGTTTTGATACCAAAAAACATAAAAAAAACATATTTTGACAGCTGCATGCTACCAGCACTGTATGGAAGTGATTATTGCTGTTGTATGGCGTGGCTCAGGTTGGACATTGGAAAAAAAATACATGGAGAAAATGTCGTAGAACTTCTTTATTATTTAGTTTGACAGTCAAAACTGAAAAGAAAATCACAAATAAATAAATCTAGGAAATTACAACAGTTTCCTCCTTTTAAAAAGCTGGAAACTCAATACATGTCTCTAACCCTTCTTTACCTTTGGGACTTTTCAGCATAAAATATTACAAAATTTACATTTTATCTAGCCCTGGCTAAAGCTACCGGAAATCACTTCCTCTCCGCTGCTCTAAAAACATAACAGTTTGCCAGTGGCAGGACAGCTGCTGTTCCGGAGTGGTGAAGTAGAAGTAATTATTGAGATAAGGAAATTGCTGATGTTTTATCTGACTGAAACTAATATAGATATAAGACATAGTATTGGCATTTCCATCAGCACCGGATGCATTTCCCATGCTAGCATTGGTATCGGAACATTTCTGTTGAGTAATGACACTGTACACTTGGTGTAGACAAAGTATGATGTCAGTGATGTTGGCAGCAGTGGTCATTACGCTGCAGTGGCCTATCAGCATGAGCCAAAATCCTATCATTGCAATTTAGTGACAGACACTGTTTTTCCCCCATACATTGGTGTCATGTCTTAAATGCAGAACATTCTACTTTTTTTTTTTTTTTTTCTAGTCTATTTGGTAAAATAGCGGCTGTGGGGTAACACCAGCGTCATGGTTTGTAGATGAAAGCTGTGCTCCTGCCCTCATTTTCTTCCTTTTCCTGTTTGCGAAACTGGACATTCACAGCGTTTTTCTTTTTAAAATATTTTTCTGTACTTTTCCTCATGTTCCTACTTTTGCACCAAACAGATCTTGTTCACACTAATGACAGTTTTGTTCTTTCTCTGTACTGTGGCTGTTCCACAGGCTCTAAGGTTTTAGTTTTAAGATATATTTCTTTATCTCTGTACGAAATAAAAGACGATTGTATGAAAATAAAAAGGTGTGAATCTTTGCTGCATCCCTGTTGTGGTATTTACTGCTCTGCTGTCATGACTGGACCTGGAGGTGGAGGAGCGACCTCTCAAATTACAACACCATACAGTTATACTGCTGAATTATTTATAACAGGAAAATAGGTGCACTGCCACAACCTGTGTATTTGTAAAATGTGCTTACTGACGCATCGAATTGAGTGGTTATTTAGATCAACTTGAGGAAATGCATTTACACGCATGTTCCTGGTATTTACAGTAGTTGGGATTAGCAGATATTTCAGGATTCATCAGAGGATATAGTCATTTTTTAACCTTTTTTCCAGCATAAAGTATGTTGCACCAGGGACTTCAACTGCATGATGCTGGAACACAAAATAAGTTGGAAAGATCCCTGGATCATCCTTTGAAAATTTGACCTCAGTATTCAGAAAACTATAAATGAAGCTGTTCTGGGGCTAAAATAACAATGATCACAATAAAAACAGATACAACAGCGACAATTTTTGCAATTGACAGACGCCCTGAAGTTGCACCGTGATGTACGTAACAGTAAAGTAAGAAGTAAGCCCCTCACAAGAAAGTGTGGATTCTGTACGTTCTCACTGTGTCTGCATGCATTTTCTTCAGGTTCTCCGGCTCTGACAGTCCAAAGAAATGTTAATAATATGTTTGATAAGTTTATCATAAGCCAAAAGTGTTCCACAGTGCTTTCCAATGAGAATCAAACACTGGAACACGAGGGCCCTGTCCCAATTCACCCCTCAGCCCTACCACTTGGCCCTACCCCTTTGTTTTGCACGTGGCTGTGAAGGGGTAGGTTCGTCCCATTTCTCCATGTGATGTAGGGATAGTGACCATCTAGCCCTTCAAACACCTCATCAACCGTTGTGTATTCAGGACCCCCCTTAAAATGAAGGGGTAGACAGAAACCCTCAATTGCTTTACAAATAGACAAACCGATTCAACATGGCGGCTGCTAAAAAAAAAATGTAAGTATGAAAAAGTTTTAATCAAGCAGAACATCTTATTTCAATCCAGTGGCAAATGGAAATATAATGATTAATATCATAAAATGAATCACTGTGACAAGCGTTTCAGGAAAAGTTGTCTGATGTGTCACTAATATAATGTTGGTTGGCAACAGTTGTTAATATAATAGTGTTGGTTGATATTGTTTGTCACTGTAATGATGTCAGTGTCTTCATATCCAGGGGTAGGGCCAAGGGAGAGGAATTGGGACAGAGCAGAGGTGTCCATGATGGAGTCCTACCACTGATCTGTCTCCTGCTTCTGTAAATATAGTTAAGGACCTCATCTGACCGCCAGGTGGCATCGTTACCCCAGGCTTTGACTGCAGGATCCCAGGCAGCTGCATCCTTAGAGAAGAAAGTTACAGCTGCAGTTCCTGTAATGAGCTCCATTCACTGTAATTGGGGGAATAACAGAAGTTGTTCAAATGTGGGACATCCCCCATCACTCATTCAACACAGGAGCAGCACAGAAGTCATTACAAGTATGTCAGGAGACCCAGTATCATTAAAGATCCAAGTGCAACTCCCCCCTGACTCACGGCTCACCTCACCCACTCTAGTTTATTTGAAGCTGGAATAAAAACAAACAAGCCTGGGACCTTACAGAGCTCAGTGTGCACAGGCTGAAGCAGGGTCAGCTGGGTGTGAGCACACTGTGATGGAAAGGTCCTCCCTGGAAATAGACGGTGTTCGTGGCTCCACGTTAACACACCATCACACATTTCAGCGCGTGAGACTCTGACTCTGAGCGCGGGGGTGGCGTGCCCGCGCAGGTGTGGCTCTCCAGCTCGTGCCCGTCACCCCTCCCCCCCCCAGCTACAAACTACAAACTCGGGCTGCGCGCTCACGTGAACTAATTCATTGTGAGAGACTGGGAGGAAGCAGCGAGCGACTCGACTGGTCGGTGAAACCAGCTCTGCTCCGGGAAACGCTGAGAAAATCCGCCTGCGAGCCACAGAAACTACAGGTAAACGACTTCCCTCGACACCACACCGACCTGCAGCGGCCCCTTTCTCACCATTGTTCACTTTAAAAGCGAACAGCGTTTGTTTTTTATAAGTTGTCCGGAGCTCTGAAAGGCAGGGCTAGCTAAGAGCTAACAGCTAGCGGCGTTAGCTAACGGTAGCCAAGTTAGCTTTTCCTCGGTCTCAGTGCAGTTCCGCACTTTTTGCACTTGTGCCGGAGCGAGTGCTGCTCTATGTGGAGTGCAGGGACTCTGGTGACCGAGAGGCCGCGTCCAGACATTAGCGAGGACTGTTGGGGATCTGTGGTAACTTCAACGTCGCTCGGAAAGTGGACCGTAAATACTGGCCTAGGTGGACGAGTCAGCCGCAGCCAAACAATGAGGCTCTTTTCCTGACTTGGACTCGGCTGACCAGGCGGCTTCCTGCTCAGTGTTACTTTAGGAATGACTGCTGGCGGTAGATGTTGGTTAATAATAATTCCATGTAAAAGCATGTTCAGATATAAAGACCATATAAACCACATGTCTAGTTTGGTTTAACACCAATCCGCCCTGTGTGTAGGTTGTAAAACGTGTCAGTGTGGTGCTCACAGCCTCGACTGGGAAAGGGATTGAAGTTTTTTTGCTTTTCTAATTTGAGACTTTTGTTTTCACCGACATCTTCACCACTCAGAAGTCATATCCATACTATGTGCGGGTCTCGCTGAGCTGTTTGGTTTGGATCGGGCCACCCACCCATTCTTCCACTGCGGACACACTGGCCATCTGTTGCCTGTGTGATGACGCCATCTTTCTAGTGACCCACCCAGTGGCTGGCTGCTTTAAAAACAATGTTTGAGCACTGTGAGCTCTCTGGGGCAAGACACACAACTTCTTCTATACGTTGGATGTGATGTCTGATGGAGCACGTAGAGCCTCTATCTGTTTTCTAAGCTGCCTATGATTTGAGGGTGATCTATCTATAACTGCATTGACTAAAGACATGACATTATGGGTGTCAGTTTATTTTTCATACAACTGTATATCAAAGCTAAGTGCATGTGGCATGGCTTTGGAGGGAAAAACAATAATTTGGATTATTGCCTGTTAGGCATTTAATGAAACATGCTGATGTAGAAAAGCCCAGGACTCGCAGCACCTACGGCAGGAGATGTGTGCGCTGGGTTTTATTGCAGGTTTTACTTACTGTCGCCCTTGAAGCCGTTCAAGTAAAATGTATCCTCTGCTCCATTGTGGTGGAGGAAAATTTCTGACTGATCAAAATCTAATTTCAGTTAATACTCAATTGGCCTAAACATCCTAATGCACACAGAGTGATTCCCAGTGTATGTGTATGTCAGTGGCTGATTAGAATTGACTGCTTGCTCGTCCTTTAGGTTTGTGCTCAACAGACAATTCAGTTTTAAATAAAGGAAGCTTCACATCATAGTCTTAATATGACATCCAATTGAGTTAGTTAAATCAAAGGATTGGAGATTCAAAACATAATTCATAGTAAACACTTGCTTGATATGATCTGTTGTTGAGACTTCATTTGGCAATTATTATACACATGGTTTGTATGGACTGGCAGAAGATTCAGTTAAGCAAAGTGATCAATCTGGGTGACGCATTAATTCAAGGTCCAGGCTGTTTTCTTCTCTGTCATCTATAACACGTAGGTGGGACACATTGTTGCGTGTACCATTTTATTTTCTGTTCCTCCAGCAGCAGTGATGGACTCTGGAATTTCTCCGCCCACAGAAACTGCATGTCAGATGGCAGAAAAAAATCACCTGCTGTGTTTCTGTCATAAATTTAAATATTAATTGATCGACAGTCGGTTAAGCGTCATTAAGCAGGGGCTAATTTTCCACCCTGAAGACTGCGTGGGGTGTTTCCTGGCATACAAACAAACATGCTTTAGATGCAACTGTTGTCTGTGCTGGGTTTTCTAAAACACATTGACTCATCAGGCACACATTAACTGTTTTAATAATGCAATTTGAGCTGTGTCATACAAGGAAATGTTGCAGGATGAATAGTGTTTCGTTTAAAACTTGATTGACCATATGAGTGGGTTTGAATGGCAGGCCTGCTGTCAAGATACTGCCTGAGTGTTATGGGATGGCAGTTTACATGGTTGATCATGCTGACTGCTGCTCCATTCCAAAGAAAACAGGATCCACTGAGCATTTACTGGATTTAGAAAACAAACACATTTATTTAGTCAGTGAAGTAGAGTTGGAAGAAGTGCTTTGTCAAATTAAGAACATCCAAATTTATAAAAAAGGAGTACAGTCTGTGTGTGTCCTGTTGGTGAAATGTATTTAAAGTGTATCACAAAACTGCCAGGGAGGTCTATCACTGCCATCGATTGTCTCAAGATTTTTGCTCTCTCTGTCCTTCCTGCTGGCGGGTTTCTCTACCTGTAAGCCATGTGACTTATTCAAAGTGCAGCTCAACCAAATGACTGCCAACAACGATCCTGAGAGTACTCATGCTCTAGAAAGTAGGATATCATTAGTCCTGACAATGACCGTCTCTGAAAATCTGTTATAAAATTGAGGGCATGAGTTAGTTTTCATGGCGAAATGCATAACTATGGACTTTTGCAGAGCTTGTGTTTTTTGTACCCTTTCATAGTTCATCTGCGTTAAAAGGTGTCTGGTTTGTCTAGTTTAACCTGAAGGAGTTTCTTATGTCATGTGTCCATGTTTTGCTGCCACATATGAAAAACATTCATGGCAGCGGTGAACGTTCTTAGTGTCCCCTGGCATCATTACTGCGCATGATACCAAGAATCAATGTGTAATGTGGAGAAAAAAACAACTTGGGGCAAAGCATAATTAATTCAATCATGTTGGGTTTATCCCAGTCTCTCTCTTCATCTGTTGTCTCTTTTTATTTTATCTTGTGGTTCACTAACATGCAGGTGAGAGCAGAGATTTACACCTGTAGCTTGGTCCTTATCTAATAGGATTAAAATCAGGGGAGTACATCTCACATGCATTCATTTTATCTTTACTGTAGCCACAAACCTAGCTAGCATGACCAGTTGGTCTGTCCATTGCATTCACAACAATTTTTTAACATTTTTGGGGATATTTTAGATTGTGTTGTGTGTTTTTAAGCAGTGCATGTGTGAAAGAGTGAAACATATCTTTGTGTACAGTTGATCTTGTTGTATATATTTGTGTTGGCTCTGGGAGAATGTTCTTGCTGCACACATTAATTTGTGGTGGGGTAGCTACTCAGGTGCAATACTGTGAGTTTATTCTTTGCTTTTTCCAAAGTTGTAGACCCGCTTCTTGTTGACCACTATTATCTCCACACCATTCTATATTTTCATCTGAGTATGTGCTGGGATTCAAATCATTTACTTTCAGGGGCAGCCCTCTGCTGTGTATTACAACCAGCCGCATGACTCTTGTATGCTGTAATTAGCTGTAAAGGAACAATTAGTGACTCTAATGACCTGCTTACAGGCACCTAGGTGGCATTTGTTAAAACAAGGGTATGTTTCTATATTGCCACTATACCTGCTGATGAAATGTTGCAAATATACATCCAGCTCCAGGCTAAAGCTGCCCCAATTTTGTCTTTTCTTTTTTTTCCCTCCAGTCATAGCGGGAATGGTTTAATCTTTTTTGACACTGCTGTCCTACTTAGAGTATTCCTTTACCATTTATAGGATGCTTGCAGCACCCCACAGTGCCATGCTGCATTTCAGGGTCAGAAACTAATGGAACTAGAGGACAATAAAATACAGTTTTATTAGGGAGCAGGAATCGTCAGGGTACTTTTGTCTGTGAATAAATCAACTCACCTTGACAAGTGAATGTAACAAGTGTGCCCAGTGTACCATTGCAGGTGTGTTGTTTTTGCTGACTTTTGATCAGAAATGGACTGCAGCACATGCAGCTGAAGAAAGCGTAGGCAGCACACTGTTTATAGAGGCTGAAAATGTCAAAGACGCACTAACTGCTGTATGTACAGAAATAAAAAGACAGACTGGTTTGGACCAGATACGATCAAATGCAAGGCCTATGCAAGATGTAAAAGTTTTATCAGTACAGTATTTGTTTTACAGCAGTACGCTATAAATGTATTTCCGTTTTGTTAATCACGGCCAGATATCTAATCAAAGTGGTGAAACCAACACAGGAAATTGAACCAGCCTAACTGACAGCTACTGCTCTGCAGCTGGAGGATTCAGAAAGAAACTGCAGAGATGTCAGGTAGTTTTCTCTCCAGCTGACTCACTGTGATGGAGTTAACAGGGTAGAGAAGTGTGATTGACACTGCAAGGTGCTGCACTTCTCTGATCCGGGAGGAAACAACCATTCTGTGATATAATGTATTTCCTCTATGTGGGGTCCTGTTGTGCTTCTTTCCAGTCAGTAAGTACACAGTTCATGCATTTCCTGTTTGACTTTCTGGTGAATGCCATTTCTTAAGAGATCTAAGTCAATGACACAAGACTTCATGTCACTCATGTGCCTCAATTTCCCATAACTCAATTTGGTAAGCTTGTTTTCACACACCCACACTGTCTGTCATGTCTCTTACCATCATGAATTACTGCAACAAACTTTATTTGACTTTATGGAAATAGTCAACTTTTCAGGACGAGACAGGAACCTATTATCTTGGACAGATATTTTAGGGGGGGTCAAATCTTAACACAACACCTTTCCTAATCACTCTCTACCCACTTCTTATCCTGAGGTTGGCATTCTAATAAAAACACATAGGTCAATATAGTATTGGCTTTTTGGTAGATTTCCCATTGAAACAGATTTGGGTGGAGTCTTTTTGGTATCAAGCTAGCTGTCTCTCTTAGACCTGTCACTCAGTATTACAGGATACACGGCCAGTCTGAAGGATTTTTTTGAGATTTTTGACCAATAAGCTCCAAAGTGTTTCTTACTCTTCTTGGGTCACTTGTAAAATTATTCAATAGGACTGAATAACTTGGGGTGGAAATCGCTAGGCACCTCACGATTTGAATATAAAAGGATTATCGATGCATCAAAGAATTTAATTTCTACACGTATACATTTTTATCCCCGTGACGCACATGCTTAAATCCGTGCCTCATAAACTATAGAATATCAACAAACAAAGTCAATTTTAGTACTGTTTGAGTCAGCGGGTGAGTGGAGGGACAAGAGACTCTGACACGTTAAAAGAGAACGGACCTTTAATGTGTGTCTGTCCTGAAGCAGCAATGGTTATAATAATGCAGCAGCGGGACACCGCTAAAAAATTGAAAGTTGCAAAAAACACAAATTGATTATGTTGCATTGATGCAAAGTGTTCCACATTGCTGTGCACAGAGAAAATTATTAATTACAAGTCCTCTATATTTCAACTAAAAGCAATAAATACAAATAGTAAGACCATTACATTTCAGCCTTAAATTCTACATTCCATTCCTCATCTCGCAAACTCCGAGAGGCCCTGAACCTCCATTGTGTTGTTGCATTGAGTCACCGGCACCATGCTTCACTAGGCAGTTGACTCAAATGGCACAGCCTTGTTTCTGTTTTGTTTTTTGTAACAATCAAAAATAAGGGCTGCTTTGGATTGACTGATGCTGTTGCACTCCTTCTGTATCTGCAGCTTCTTGATCAGAAACTAACTTCCTCCACTGTGTCTTTCTCCAGGGATGGCAGCCATTCGTAAGAAGTTGGTGATAGTGGGGGATGGAGCTTGTGGGAAGACCTGCCTTTTGATTGTCTTCAGCAAGGACCAGTTCCCTGAAGTCTACGTCCCCACGGTGTTCGAGAACTACGTTGCTGACATCGAGGTGGACAGCAAACAGGTGAGACAGCTTAGACAGTCTTTCCATGTCATTCATGCATTTCCTGTTTGACTTTCTGGTGAATGCCATTTCTGAAGAGTTCTAAGTCAATGACACAAGACTTCATGTCACTCATGTGCCTCAATTTCCCATAACTCAATTTGGTAAGCTTGTTTTCACACACCCACACTGTCTGTCATGTCTCTTACCTTCATGAATTACTGCAACAAACTATATTTGACTTCATGGAAGTAGTTGACTTTTCAGGACGAGACAGGAACCTATTATCTTGGACAGATATTTTAGGGGGGTCAAATCTTAACACAACACCTTTCCTAATTACTCTCTACCCACTTCTTATCCTGATAAGAACACACAAGTACTACATAAGTAGTCTTGGGAAAACCTTGTTCAGTGACAGTCATTTAAAATAATTAAACTAAAATCCAAATAACTGACAGTTTTTCTACTCTTTATTTATCTACTTGGATTTCCTTTTTGTCACAACACATCAGGGCTTATTTTGTTCCTTGGGTGCTCAATTGTGCTCCATTTCCACATCGTGCACAATTGTTGGTGTTTTATTTAAAATGCATTTAATTGCCCCATTAAACCAGGGGTTTCATTTAGAGGTTTCTGGACATGTGTCCAAATCCTGTGGGCACATTGATGGGGGGGTTTTATGTTTAATACTTCAGATATTTAGTAATTAAAGATATTTACTATTAAATATCCACAGCAACACACATTAAGTTCAACTCCTCCTGGTTAATGATGTATTGTATGTGTCGTTCAGCATAACTGTCGCACCCAGCCAAACTTATTAGTCACAAACCTGCACATCCTGGCCTCATTCTAGGATAGTGGGATTCTGGGGCATTGTGTCTGTAGTGACTAACCCTCCCTGTCATAATGGCCTGATCTGATTTCCTTTCCTTGTTTAGCAACACTGTCTGCTTAGAGGGGCCTTTATATGTCACTGCCCATGTGCCATTTAAGTGCACACATTCATAGATGTCACTCCCCCTAAGAATGTCTTTTTTCCTTTCCTTCCCTACAAGATCCATTCATTTTTCCCAGTGAATTTCACAAAAACGCTGAAAAACGGCCACAATGTTAGACAAAAAAATTCATGATTTCCCCCCTGATCCAGGCCCTCACCAAAATTCAATGTATTTTCTCTTTGTCCATGTCCTATTCTGACAAGTTTGAAATCTGTGGAAATCAGTTCAGTTGTTTCTGTATAACCGTCCTTACAAACCAAGCAAGTAAAGGCAGAGGTAATTATTATTCAAATTTTTTTATCAGGAATAAGCAAAGATCTTTTTAGGCAAATATCAGTATTTATTTTTTTTACCAAATCAGATTACAGGCATCTTAAAAAAAAAATACAAAATCAACTCCATAAAATACATAGTAATATATAGTGGATGGTGTTGGTAAACAGTCTAAAAGCTATACATTTGGAAATGACTCCAGCATTTCTTTTGTTTAACTTAATAAAATATAGCTGGATTTACTAATTGTAGTTAAAGTGAATCTTTAAGGTCAACCATCTGTTATATGTTTGCTTTCCACTCAATAGTCATTACTCTTTGCTATAACAATGCACTTGTTGCTTATAGTCAAATAAGGAGATACATCTTTCCTTTTTGTAAGGTCTCGGCTCATCTTTGTTATTGATCAACTTTTCCCCCTCTTTCCACTATTTTCTTGTTCCTCTTTTGTCTGTAAATGTGTGTGTCAGGTGGAGTTGGCTCTCTGGGATACAGCAGGTCAGGAGGACTATGACAGGCTGAGACCTCTCTCCTATCCAGACACTGATGTCATCCTCATGTGCTTCTCCATAGACAGCCCTGACAGCTTGGGTGAGCACAAACCACACACACACAGATGCAAGCGGACACGTTTTCATGCACAGCATAAAACGCCACATCTCTGTCCTTTCCTCTTCACCCCCGTCTTTCCGTTTCCATACGGAGTTATTCCTGGGGCCTGTAGATGGTGTTTATCCTGTTGTGACGACTTGTATGGGAACTGCTTGCACATGTTCATACACACTGACACAAATCCTTTGTCATGCTGTTAAACTAGAACAATGCCCTTTCTCTCATACCCATTTCTCTCTGATCATATAAAAATGGATTTTCATAAGATGAGGTGATAAAAGCTGCAGATAACTGAAGCGGCACATTAATTAAACAGAGTTAAATGAGAGGAAGTTACAGTTGTAATGAAACAAAGCTGCACTGCTCTATAGTTTGCCTTTTAAGGTTGTTTTACGTAACCATTCTCCAGAGATTACATTTCTGTTTGAAGCAGCATTTTTTTGCTAACCATGCCTCTTTTTTTTTTAACACTTGATTCTCAGTAGAGATATGGAGACTCTTATTTGTCTTTGTTTTATTTTTCTGAAGATTTATCTCTGAAGTGATTCACATTTTTAATTAAATTACTTTGTAAAAGTCAGGCTAATTAAAATGTTGCTCCCGCTTATTCAGCTATTAATTTAAAGATAAGCATTATTGCTCCTCCATCAAATCACGTTCTTGCAATGATTCCAATGTCGGTTTCTGCATGTTTTTTACCAGCATTTTTTCTTGTTTTTACGTATTGACGTAGTTATATTAAGAGAAATGTTCATCACAGAGCAAAACCCAACTTGGTCGAGTACAGGGCAGATAGTTTAGCCGCAGTTGTCCGCTGAAAGAAAACTTATTGCCCAGCTGGAAAAATGAAAATATAGTTTAAGATTCCTCGCTTCTCTCGTAATGGGCCTTGTACATCTTTAGTCCATGAAAGTTACCCATAACATTTACATATACACAAAAATAAGTGTTCATTGAGCTGTTATTTTCCTTACAGAAAACATTCCAGAGAAGTGGACCCCAGAAGTCAAACACTTCTGCCCCAACGTTCCCATCATCCTGGTAGGAAACAAGAAAGACCTGCGCAATGATGAGCACACACGCCGAGAGCTGGCCAAGATGAAGCAGGTAACTGAATCCTCTTTGCTTGGGCCAAATTACAGTTTAGGATTGTCTTAAGAAAGATCTATAATGATTTTGGGTGTTTGGCTGATGGGACTTCTTGAAATTAAATGAAGAAATGTAAGAATTAATCCCACTTAAGGTTTGTCAAGGTGGAGGATTTCAACATTTTGGTGTACTTCAAACAATAGTACTGTGACCCTCAAAAGTACATGTTAGTTTGGTTAACATATTTATAGTAATATTCACAGGCTTATATTTTTTATATTTACTTAAGATTTTCAAGGAGTTAAGTTATGTTTCTAAATTGATTTCTTGGGTTTTCTCTTCATCCAATAGGAGCCAGTGAAATCAGAGGAGGGCCGAGACATGGCCGGACGAATCGCAGCATTCGGTTACATGGAGTGTTCCGCTAAGACCAAGGACGGCGTACGGGAGGTGTTCGAGATGGCCACCAGGGCGGCACTGCAGGCCCGTCGTGGAAAGAAGAGCAATAAATGTGTACTGCTGTAAAATGGCTGACACATTTGGACTGTTTTCACCCTGGGCTACTGTACATGGGACTAGGGCATCGGGAGGGACTGAGGGATGACTAGATGGGGGTGGGAGGGAGGGAGGGAGGGGAGGAAAAGCAGTAAACTACTACCGCTGTAAAATGACTGTTTGTTGGACTGAATTGACCCTGGGAGTTGGGGTTGGGAGGCTTTGATTGACCGGGTTGGGTGGGTGGATGGATGGAAGAATGGGGAACGTGGGGAGCGCAGGAAATGACTACCGCTGTAAACATTGGGCTCTTCTTACCATCGAGGTGGGACACTTCCACCAGTCTTGTCATGTGTCTCAAGCCACTTACACTGATAAAGAACATTCAGAGATCCTGCTCCTTTCCAGTCAGTGGAACATTTATCCCAGTGTGTTAATATCTGGAGTTGGACAGATGAAAAGATGGGGAGAATGAATCACAGTATGCAGGGGGGAGTCTGATGAGACCAGATCAGGGCAGAACTGTTTTCATAATTTTATTATGTAATCTGGAATAGTTGTTTTAACAGCTCCAGCAGTGAAAAAAATCACCAGTAAATGGTGTATAAAACAGGATTGAGGTTAAATGTTTTGCAGGATTGTATGCTCTATATGGAACGAGTGGTCATGTGCTGTCAGGTGCTCAGGTCTTGTGTGTTGTATTATCAGAGAGGCGTGGAGCCACATGCTCACATGTCCAGCTCAGTGCCATTTAGTCCCTCACTGGGGCTAATCCTGTGCGTACAGACTCACAGTGACAAACACATTGAGCCCTGCTCTCCCTCAGATTATTTCTTATAATGACCTGATAGTAAATACTGTTATTTGCAGATGAACTGTAGTTGGTGTACAGTTTGAATTCAAATTAATTTGAACTGAAGCTGTAATCCAGTGGCATCACCGCAGTGCTACAGAGGAAGTTAACATGGGTCCAGAGGAGCTCCAGTGTGACTCCCTCATTGTCATACCTGGACACTGAACTGTCCACGTGCTGCTGAATCTTCATTGCATTTGATTTGTCTACTTTTGGAGATGATCAGCTCTCACATGAAGGTTGTTTAACATTTGATCAATCCTTTCAACTGAATCAGTGGAAGTGGCAGTTGAATTGTTTGTCCCACTGGATGACTAAGGTATCCTCCTGTCCTGAGTAGTACAACCTGAGCGAACTCTGCGCTGCTCCCACCCCTTCCTGTTCCACATAGCTGACTGCTGGTGCTCACCTTCCCCTGGTTTGAGACCAGGACAAAGAACAAGGAGAAGAGAGGATTGTGTTTACATGCACACCACTGATCTCCTGATTCGGGACGAATGATTAATTTGTTTGTGTGTAGGCATGTATAAAAGGGTCAAATGTACAGGCTGTGATAATCCCATGTTATCCATCATTTATCTGTCACTGGTTCACTGTTGCTATCTACCATCTGCATCAACAGTTTAACCTAAAAAGACAAACATGGCCTTTTTTATCCATAATATTGCATGGAAACCCCAGAATGGTCAGGTTGGGCAGTCAGATTTGGAGTTAAACATTCAGGTAATCTTTGTCACTAACATGCTGAGTGAGAATTAACCACCTGCTGTGCGCTGGAAAATCACTTAGGTTTTTTATTTTAGAAATGAAAGTGTGGCCAGTTGTATTTGAGATTTATGTCACCAGCCTTCCCTGACTTTTCTGTGTGTTTTACTGCAGGAAAGAGGCTCTCTCTTCTAAGTGTTGTACCCTCCTGTTCTTCTTCCTGGTCCACAGGGAGGAGCCTGTTCCAGATATCCAGTTTTGTGTTGTTGTTTTCATACTTTTATTTTCTGCTTTTAAAAAAGTTATAAATATGTTCTCTATCAGTATTTAAAAATAGGAGGTGGAAGACTTGGGGACTGCTCATCTGTTGTTGCTTTAGTTTATTCTTCTTTTGTGCTTTACCTGAATTTTATTTTTATTTTTGATGATTTTCAATTGGGTGTAACGACTCGTCAATCATCCCTGCCAAATGCTGTTGTTAGGCAGTCAGGAGAAAGGCTGGCCCCTCGGCTGCCTGTCAAGAGCATCACTATGACCACGTGTGCTGGCTTGTTTTTGTTTGTTTGTTTTGAATACAAACTTGGCTGAAAAGACAAAAGGAAAAAAAAAACAACTCTAGTCTCCTTATGTACAAATCATTTTTATTTCTAGTTTTTATTGTATTTTTAAATCCTGATTTTGGATGCTGAAGCAGTGATGTACACAAAAGGAACAGGAAAACCAAGCTGTATGCAAAAGTCTGTAAATATGAAATGTGGGTTTGTTCATACTAGACTATACACATGCACAGGACTGGAAACTGTATTTGTAAACTAGCTTTGGTTTGTGTAATAAATTACTTTCTATAACACCCGGCTTCTATTCATTATGGTCTCGGGAGGGAGGACGGGGGAAAGAGCTCTTAAGTTCAATCAATACACATGTAATATGAAAGGAGAGACGGGTGAGTGCGTTCATGAAATGGCAGGTCATGGTCTATCCTCTGATGACAGGCAGACCTCAACACAAGTAATAATGACAAAAGAGAGAAAAGTAAGGACCAGGAGCCACATGACTTTTAGAAATACAAGTTAAGTACAGTCTCATCAGCTCCCACTTCATTCATGCACTTTCTCCCTTTCTTTGTCTTGCATGTTTCTTTGCATCTTTTAAATCAACTGCGTAAATGCCTTTTGTTCATTTTTTCTGCCTGGTTTTAAACAGTAGTTTATAATGAAATATTCACTCAGTCAGCTACATTTTGATCAGTATTCTCACACCTTGAAAGCTACACCACCAAATCCCCATCCATCAACTTTGTTGCAGGTGATGAGTTCTGCTGAACACTACATAGCAATAAATACAGATGATTTATTAGTGAGGCGTGTCGTCTCGTGGGTTTTAAATCTCGGTGGTGCAGAGCCACAGTTCATTGCAGCAGTAAAGGTCCCACAGCAGAGCCTATTGATTGAATGAGGATCCCACGTAGAGTCTCATCTGATCATAAACCAGGGCGAGTGAGTGCAGCGACACTCTGAACGTGCTCCACACCCACTGATGTTATTACTGACTGCAGCCCTTGTTTTAAAAGCAGCACAACAGCAGAATTCTCTTAGCTTCACTTCCACAATGTGCTTTTCTTCTTTTTTTATGGGCAATTTCTCAAATATATAATTTTAAGCAATTACATTAGATTTACTACTGCATTTACTTCTCTTGAAAATCTAAGTTGCATTTATACGTAATAAAACACTATAATTCATTTACATGTGTGGTTTCCACTGTAGTACCATATGTGACATTAGAAATGTGACCAGCATGAACATTCAGTTAAAATGCTTTTTTAAGTTTTGTATTTTCATCTTTATCTGCGGTGTTAGCCTGACTCTCCCTATGTAACAGATAATTAGACAGTAATTATTATTTAAGAATTTATATATGGTGTAACCTAGGCTGATTTATCTTAATTGCTAAACACATCATCTGAGTTAGACATTACCACATCATTGTGTCGACCTTACAACTATGTCTGACTTGTATCCATGTTTCTCTGTTTTAGTGAGTCAAAAAGATTTCATTAGTGTTAATGCAAAAGTAAAACAAGAAATACACAACATAGTTTCTGCCTGTCGTCCTGTGTTTGCAGCTTGTGTAGTTTTGCTTTGAAGGGAAAGAAATCATCTCTCACTCACTCACTCTTCTCCAGTCAGCACAGACAAAGCTGTGTTAAAATCCTGTAGAGTAGCATTGGTCATCGGGATGAGGAGCAGAAAGTAACAACACACCACTCAGGGATGTGCACGCAGCCTCACACACTGCAGAGAGAGAGAGAGAGAGAGAGTGGAGTGTGTGGGCTGCTGAGGTGAGGGAGTTTCACCCTGTGTGGGATGATGCTGGATATTCTGGAGTAATATCAACAAGCTGCAAGTGTGTGTATGTGTGTGTGTGCAGTGTGGTTGTGTAAGGCAGCATGGAGGAGTGAAAGGACAGGAATAAAATGGATGAACGTGTGAAGGTGCTCACAAGGAGTTTTTTCAAATATCACATGTTGCACATGTCTAATGCTTAATTATAAGCTTAAAGCTGCACAGGGTCATATTATTACGAGTCTGATGTTGACCAGAATGGTGGTAAAAGTCTGGTTTGAGCTCACAGCAACTTTAATTGAACATCAGGATCTGAATAAAGAACCAAAGGCAACAGTCATCATTTTGGTGCCACTGTTTGCACGAGGGGGGTAAGAGGATGTAAAAACACCTCTAGACTTGGCTATTTAAGACAAGAGGGGGAAAATGTATAGAAAAAGAAACGCGCCTGGTTTACTGCCACTCTGCTAAAGGGAGAAAGACCTGATTGTGACAGTGGAAAAACTGAGCAGCAACAATCTAAAGGAATTATGTAACACTGAGGGTTGTTGATCTTTTTACAAAACCACTTAGAACCTTTGTTCCAGGCTTTCCCGCTGTTTTTCCATCTTGTGCAAACCATCCAGATCTCAGGTCAGACTGAAGATCCCATCTTATTACATCAGAGGTGCCTGCAGAGACCTTTGGGTGCTTGTATATGGGAGGTGTGTGTGGTATGGCAGGAAGAAGAAGAGGAGGTGGTATGAAGAGGTATAGAAAGTGTAAGGAATGGATAGAGAGTAGGAGGTGGAGGCCCCGGCTGACGGGTTATTAGAGGCATAGTGGGTGGATGTGAGAGAAAACAAGAAGTCAGCTGGAAGCTTCTGTGCTTCTCGGACTGAAAATGACTTCCTGAAATATAGAACTTTTTTTTACCCAACTGTTAAAACCCTTATCTGCTACGGGACATGATAAATGACTATTGATACCAAAAAAGAGAAGCCATATTTATTTATGTCATATTATTTGAAAGAAAGACGCAGGTTAATGTTTTTCTTCTTCCTGATCCCTTCTTTGTTAATGAAATGTGTATGGGTGTATTGTTTTGTTTTATAAAAACGCTTTAGATTAACCCAAACTATTTTTTAAAATCTAGGCCTAAAAAGGGAAAAAGTACGAAATGGTTGCCCAAATAAGAAGCATTCACATGTTTGAGCCTCTCTGATCTCAAGTGTCTTTAAACTGCTGAATCCATGTTGCTACCCTGATAAGTCTACATCCAAATATTTTTAAATAAAATAATTCCCTCAGTTACCAGAACAAACACTGTGACATGAGTAACAATGTGCAGGTAGCTCATCTCTGGACTCTGGACGAGAGGGGGCCACTTGTTGAAACTACACAGCGGCTCAGTCCAGTCTCTGATTTCAGGAGAACCCCAGTGTGAATGATGTGCTGGTTGAAACTGCAGCATCTGTGCTCACGGTGACGTTGAAGGGTGAGTTTTCAGAAGGAAACCACAGAGAAACCAGAGAGTGGAAAAAGGAAGGAAGGAAGTTCGTCACTGGATGCTCCACCCTGACTGGTGGCCAGCACCATGTAAGAGTCAGAGGTGAGTCTGGTGCAACACTTGTGGAGGAATGAGCTGGAGGGAGGGAGCAGAGGAGGGTGAGGGGCCTGGAGACGGGCCCGCTCTCTGGTTCTCTCTGGTTCTCCCTCGTCCTCTCTCCTGCTCCTCCGGCTGCCGGAGAGGAACAGCACCCAGCGCAGAGCCACCGCCGCCTTTATATACCGCTCTATTTTTAGCCCCTCACAAGCCCAACTATTTTTAACCAATATGAGCTCATCACCCGCCCGACCTGTCCAATGAGATGACAGGCAGCAGAGGGGAGCCGTCCAATGGGAGGCGGGCAGAGGGGAGAGGGGGCGGGTTAAACAGGAGCATGGAAACGGGACAGAGAGCGAGGGTGAGCAGAGAGGACCTCTCACTCTGATGTTTTTCCAAAGTACCACAAACTACAGAAAGTTTTCCTCATAGAGGATTTACTTCTTCTCTTTCAAAGTACTTTTGTATCATGATACACCATTACACTGTCTGTGTAAAGAGAAATGAATATGTTATGGTGACTAAATATGAAGCACTTATGCAATTCAGTTACAATAAAAACTGTTATTTTGTTAGCCTTCAACAACAAAGTCAGTCCAACTTTAAAGGCTGATGTAGATTATATGTTTGGCCTGAATTTGTTGGACATTGCAATGTGTTTTACGATCTGACCAAGGCTACATTTAGAAAATGGAAACAAACCACCTATTACAAGGATGAGGCAAAGGTTCAGCCCATAGAGTATATAAAGATTTATGACATTTCCTCCCACTATCCAGAAACAAAGCAAAAAGTAATGATTGGGGGATGAAGCATCGACAGCGAGGTCTCATGCATATATGTGCTGGACCAATCATAGGTAAGTCTTAGCTGTCTTCTGATGTCTCAGTCTGTTTTTATCAAATACCTTACTAAAACTAAACTTACCAGAAAGATAAACACTTGAACAAACACCAGTGTGATAAATCAGATGACCGGAACCAAAAATGTATTTGACATGCACTTGTTTTTGTTTTGCCCATGTCCCATCTACTAGCTTGGAGGAGGCAGGGTTTATAAGCTATACTGTAGCCAGGAATCATTCATTTTTGAGGCGGCTTCATCCATCTTTATATACACTCTATGGTTCAGCCTATACTTACCTTCAGGGTACATTCAATCCAGAACTCATCCCCATTATTTTAATAAAAACTAAGACCTGACTCACTTCCTGTCACAAAGAATTTCCTCACCAGTTATGGTCTGACTGTTGTAATCATCCTGTAAAGGCCACACTCTGTGGGCTGCAGCCATCAAAGCAGGGCTACTACATGTATAAATCCATATGTTGCAGATAAACACATGGCTGACCAAGTAATGACATATAATTGGACGTGCTTTGGATCAAAACAACAACTGAGGAAAGCAGTGTATATGCATTCTAGTAATGTCAAGCTAGGAAACACATGGCTGATCCTGTTTACCAATAAAGCACAGGTATACGCTGAAAGACCAAATTTAGTGGGTATACCAGTTGGTCACTCTGCTGAAAAAAAGTTGATTGACTCCTTTTCCCATTGCCAGTACAAAAAGGTGGCCTTACTGTTTTTTCCCCCTGGTGCGTCATGTTTGACACCATGAACGCATCGTTAACTGAGGAGCTCTCTTGCCTTACTTTCTTGCCAAATTTGCACGTTCATCCAGGTTTCACGCCTCCGTCACTGCACATCGGAGCCGATAAAAACCAGTGTCTACTCTAGAGTTATTTGACCTGGCGATTGTATCCATTCCCTTTGCAGAAAATAACCAGATGTTAGTGGATCCTTTTTGACCAGTGGAAAAGAGACTCACAAGCCACAAGAGTTTTTCATATTGTAATTTGTGCTTGTGTGTATAAAACTACTTCAACTTTAAACCTCAAAAATTTGCTGAGTATTACTC